CCGTGGTTTGACGTGTAGTTGTTAACCTCATTCATGATTTGATGTCCGAGAATGATTGCCCTCAAAATCGGATTCCTTGCAAACATCATCCACCTTATCCGCTCATTATTGACATTAATCAAGCAGGGTTCCTCGGAAACAGGAGCTTCGTCATAGCATAGATTATAGTCGACGGATAAGTGGGATTCGCCGTCGCTCGGCGACATCGTTGCATTGTTTTCAACCGAACTGCTCCAACAGGAATCGTTCGAACTGCTACTTTCATGATCAGACATGTTTTCGAGTACCGGGACACTGGACAGCTACAATACGACTACTACAACATAGACGATAAAAAAAACCGCAATCGTCACGAGCAAAGGTTCTGAACGTCGGACGCGCGTGAAGCGGTTGTGAAAATCGACGTGACGATGAAAACGATTTCAGGCAAACGACCGGCCCAATGATGTAACGACAATCTCATCAAACAGTCACATGTGCGCGTGGTATCGTAAGTGTCGGACAACAACAAGTACAATGTCGGAGGTCGGACACGGACACGCGTGGGTAGGGTGGCAGGACACGTAAGGAATGCGGAACCCGCAGTGAGGCGATTGGTTGTRCGGTACCTCACCACGGCGGCCAGCGACCGTGGCGCACCCACAACGCGTCGGGTGGCCGGACGCTTGGATGGTTTTTTCCATGGAACGATTAAATTAACGGACAACCATCGTGGGTCCCTAGCACGATGCCTACCTGTAGAATTGTACCCATCCAATAGGTACTGACGCGCCGAAACAGCAGTGCAGCTGCCGCGGCGCCTCCCAGTCGCGCCAAAAATCGAAGTTCGACGTCGCGTTAACTACAACAGCCGTCGTATGAATACACTGCGACAGTGTTACAGAGTAAGATTTTGAGATGGCGCCAGCCCCGAACCCGTGTCAAACCCATAATAGAATAAACGTTTATCATTCGAATAATAAATGCATTTATTTTGTCACGCCGAAATCGACGTGACTCACTGGCAATTAGTGCGTCTGGAGCAGACTAACGATATTGTTTCCATTTCGAACCGAATGCTCTGGTTAATCGTCATTACCTGTAGTTTTCCGTGTAATTACCTATTAGCATTGATTACATCGTATACAATATAAACAAGGATTTCGAGTTATCCAGGTAGTCGATTACAAAATACTTGAAATAACCATTTATTGGTTATTATACGTTTCAAAGAAAATAACGACACGTTTAAAAAAAGCTATTAACCAATCTTTATCTAAAATTTTACCAAGTATACGGCTGATTTTCAAGTAATAACTTATATTGATACTTTTATAAGAAAATTAATTTTTAGTCTTGTGGTAAATACCTACCCATAATAATATGATTTTTACATATGCCTAATGCCTGGATGATTAAAGAACTCACCAGGTAAATAAAATCGATGGACGTTTTTTATTTTAAAATTATTTTGTGTGTAAAGGCACAATAAACATTTTTTATAGGCAATCAACTAAAAGTTATATTACCTAGGTAATTGAAATTTCGTGATTATTTCAGAAAATCTAAAAATTATAAGTATCTATTTAATCAAACATATGCAGCCCACGCGCTGAAGAGGCCTGTGGGCGCCTGGCATTTAACTTTTAGATTTTTCTTAATATATGGGTATACCTTGTACGAGAATATCAAGTTTAATATTTATGTATATTATAAGTTTTAACAGCGACCAAAAATGAAAATAAATATTTATTTATTTTTAGTGTGGAAATGTGTTCGATGATAATTAGTGTAATATACATGAAGATTATTATAATAAAGAAAATCAAATAATATACTTAAAAACGTTGGTCGGTACAGACAAAGGGCTGCCACTGCCACAGGCCACTATAATATGTTATTCAAACTCACAATGTATSTAATGATAATAATGATAAATGAATAACAATTACCTAATACTAAGTAATAATTAATAATGAGTTATTGTGTAGTTATGCTTGCACATTACTTGGGTCCTCAACTTACGAAGTTACGACCTATTTGATAAAGCCGATAGGTAATAAGTTTGCTACACAGCATGGCGTAGCCAACATATTCATCTGGCATAGTTAAGGCCAATATCTTTTTGGAACCTCTTACGATCACTCATTATTTTTATGTTTTAAAACTGATTAAATAAATTACTAAAAATTTTCAAAAAAACACAATTTAATACATTAGATCAAAATTCTATTGAAGAAATACTATTTGTATACCTGATGTTATTTCTCCATTTATCATTTGGTAAAAATTAACAATTTTTATTATTCGACGTTAAGTTATTGTTAAAGAAAAGATAATTGCATTTTTATTTTTCAATTAATGATCAAAAAGAAGTCGCATCAAATTTTACTTTTTAGACATTTATTCTTTGATAGAATTTTTTAAAGTCTTATTAAACAATTAATAGAAATAATTTACACAATTTAATTAGATATTGAATACATATCAAATGAAAAATGTAATTCTAGTAATGTTTGTAATACTTCATTACAAAATAAAATACCTAACAATAATTTATTCTTGAGTACCTATAAAAGAGCTTATTCTGAATTTCAACACTAATATATAATTACGTTATTATTATTTTATATACTTTTTTATAATAACTGTATATTATTTAATCTTTTTGTAAACACTGAAATTAAAAAATTGTTTAATTACAAATAAAATAGTTTAAAAAAAAAATAAATAAATAATAAATTGAAGAAGTCAGTATTGTAATACATAGATGTATTAGATAAAAAAAATAAGTGACCTCAAATGCAATCAAAAGGCAAAAAAGGCATGGACCTTAATTGTGCTGACTGTATCTGAGTTGGAGTCATAAAGCATACTACATAACTATTGACAATGATTGTGTATTTTGTGTATCTAAAATTGATAATCATGTATTATAGAGTTCATAAAATAGTATATGCTGTAGAAGTATAAAATCTATAATTAGGTCCAAGTGTTTTTGAGAAACAAATAGAATATTTAAAAACGATAAATAATATCTCAATCCTATATTTTAATAAAATTATATCTTTTAAATTTCAACTTATAATCTGAATTATTATGACAATTTGATTTAAAAATATGTTAAATTGTGAATATTCCCTACATTTTTAAGTGCTATAGAGTTATCAGCTTGGTTTAAATATTACAATTACACTATTACCTACCTCCAGATGTTTGGACTTTTATTGGGCTCTTTAAGTTAAGAATTCGAGGTTGATTAAATACACCGTATATTGTATAATACCTACATTTGTATTTAAAATATATACATATACAATATAATTATTATGTCCTAGGTACCTGACTTGAACTACCTGTGGACTATGCTGTAGAACTAAGATTGCTGGGTTTGAGTCGAGTTCCGAAATTTCTATGCTAACTAGGTAGTAAGTACTATACACTAGCCAGTCAGTAGGGTCCTAAATTAGTTTAGGTACAAAATACAACACTATATACTGCCTGGATCCCGGATTTTTTTTGTGGTAAAAACTAAAATTTACCTTCTAATTTTAACAGRCTGAGGCATTTAACACTATCTATAATATAAAGTCTATACGATATATTTTGGAGGTATGGTTAAAATTTTTTTTTGTTAATAAAGATATAAATTATTTTTATTCATTTTTATGATAATTTGTAGTATTGTACGTATTTTATGTTTATAAAATATGAGCAAGGTGAAATAATCATTACAATATCGTACACA